ACAGCTAGAGTTCCAGTTAAGACATGAGTCAGTTCTATGCTCAAAAACGACAAAAGGCTCCTGCTCTAAGAACAAAATCAAGACCTCATAATGGCCTCTAGGGCTACAAATTGTTCTCATACCTCATTACCTTTTTTTTTTTTTTTTTTTAACCAATCGTCTTGTTTTTTCCCATTTAGTTCGGTCTGCTTGAGCTGTAATGACCTCCTAGTTCTTCCTCAAATATGCCAGAATATTCTCACCTGGAAGTCTTTGCACTGGTCTAGAATGTTCTTGCTTCTGTTAGCCACATGGCTTACCCCTTCCTTTCTTTCAACTATTTTCCTAATTGTCACCTTCTCAAGGTGGCTTTCCCTAACTGCTCTTTAAAATGGTGACCCTTCATACCTGTAACCAAGCAATTTGGAGGTTGAAGCAGGAGGATCATAAGTTTGAGGTCAGCCTCAGCAACTTAAGACCCTGTCTCAAAATAAAAATAAAAGAGGCATGGGGATGTAATTCAGTGACAGAATGCCCCTGAGTTAAGTCCTTAGTACCAAAATAAAATAATAGAATAGAATAAAATATTGCCCCCCTCAAGCATCTTAAGCTTAGAAAGTCTCAGTAGGTATTTATTGTACATTTTCAAAAGTTAATTAGAGAGAATTTAACCAAACAAAGCAGAAATTTCAGGCAGGTAAGATGATTAATAAAATTTAAGAACTGAGACTTAAGAGAGTGTTTATATTCTCATGATATTTGAGAGCAGATGGTTTAACCAAAGGAGAACATACAGAGAAGAAAGAACTGGGACCCACAACTGAACACTATTTGGAGTAATGCTGAACTGAGCTAGTGAGAGGTTAAGAGAGAGCAGAATCATGATGTGTCAAAGCTCAAGAAGGAAGTGAATGTTCTTGTAATGTAGCTTAACATTTCATGGAGGATACCCTTAGTCCCTTTAGATTGTCTGCTTAAACTTTGTTACTTCTGGTTATCCTGTTTTGACAGATGAGAGTACTGAGACTTAGTTCTTACAGTCAGGAAATGATGGTGCCAAGAGTTAATTACTGGTATAATTTTTTTTTTTACCAAGTTCACTTTCTTCAACCTGGAATGCCATCAGGAAGCAAGAAAAGCACTTTCAAGCAGTTGGATGTCTGGTCTTAACTTGGTTGTAGAAAATATTGCCATAAATAAAAAAGACAACTTAAGAAGCACAAACAAATGGGTAGATGAATTGACCACTTCCAAAAACATAGAAATGAACACATTTACCTAAGCACTATAAGCTAAAATACCTTTAACATGTAACTGCTATTTAAATTCTATAGGGATTATAGAAGTATGATTTAACTGTTTATTGTCAATTCTATTATTTTCACAAACATTTATCGTGCTTGCACTGTGTCTCAGGCATTAAAATATGAGTTAGAGCTATAAAAATAAAACATCAATGCTGCTCTCTAGGATACCCTGGAGAGAGGGATAAAGGGGCACAGTTGGATAATTATCTGGTACAGGAGAGTCACAAAGGGTATGTGGTGGTGTACAGAGGAAGAAGTGGTCGTTTTTCCCTGAGGAGAAGAGGAGAACTCTACTTGAATATCAAAGTGTCAGGAGCTTATTAGATAGTTCAGGTTGGAGGCTTTTGCAGACAGTGAGAAGAGGAAGAGTTTATCATAGCTGCAGAGTAGGTCTGAATATTAGCAGGGCTAAGAGTTTCAATGTGGATGACTCCTTGGTCAGAGTTTCGAAGTGGCATGTGCCACACCAATGCCTTATTCTGAGGGGAGGCCAGTGTTGGGTTTTAAGATCCTGCTGGCATTTAGGCTCACAGATTTTTTGAGGCAGATGAATTTGAGAGGGACCAAGACTAAATGCAGTGGGGAGATTTGGAGACTTTTGTCATCTATGCTACTGCCTTACAAAGTGTGGTGGCCAGCAGCCAACAGCTTCTTACCAGTCCTTGGATTATAAGCCCACTGCTTCCCTGAGAAACTGCCCAGTTTGGCTGACTACATTCTCATGGCCAGACCTTCTCCATGGAGGAAGCTGGGCTCTGCTGAAGATTCTGGGGCAGCCATTGACCCTGTAGTGGACCCATATCTTGGGTGGCTCTGGTCTATACCACTGATCTTCAAATGCTTTCAATCTCACATGTTTGTAAGTAAAAATTATTTGAGTATGCAATTCTAATATATGAATAATAACGAGCTCTGTACATGTGTCACTGCCATACTGTATTACGCATATCATAAGACACACCAAGTACACATTTTAAAAAGCAATGCTAAAGACAAAATAAGCGACATTTAATTTTTTCACTATGGTAAAACAATGTTATCAACTATGCTTAACTAGTCTTGAAAACAATTTTAAAACACTTTCTGATATGACTGTTTGAAGTCTGCTTCTGATGCCCTTTAGTTTGGTTTTGGTGTAAACAGTTGTCTTAGTTGAAAAAGTTACCACACAGACAGGTGCATTCAAGTGGAATTGAAAACCAGCCTCTACCTCAGAGCAAAGCCTGTCCAAGGAAGGGGGCATGACCCTTGTCCTTGGAAAGACGCACAGAGCACTCCTAGGCACATACCTACCCTGATAAGTGGTTTATCTACAAATAACAGGAGAGATCTGCTGCCAGGTGTCCCTGACTCAATCAGGCTAGGTGGGGACCCATAGCAACCCCCTAGCAGCCACCAATCAGCATGAGACAGGGAAATACTGGGATGCCAGATGACCCTCCCAGTAGTTTATGGTGGTTGATAACGTGTTGGGAAACCATGTAGTTCAGCACGAACACCCCTCTTGGCTTAAAACAATCAGTTCAAATGAATCCCCCCTCTTGTATTAACCAATCACCCCTATCCAACTTGTTCCTGCCAGTGAATGGGCTAATCAAGTTTTAGAGTTGTTTTATGATTTTCCTGCGGTGTGTGATGATTTGCTAAGAGATGCTGTGATGTATGTGAAGTCCCTGCCTTCCCCAAAGAGTGTATAAAACTGCTGCAAACCCTGGGCTAGAGGCCTCTCAGCATCACCAGTTGCTGTGTGCACACGGAGGACTGAGCTAGCTCACAATAAACACCTCTTTGCTGCTTACATCCATCTTAGTCTCTGGTGGTCTTTTGGGGGTCCCGAATTCAAGCATAACAGAATAAAGTAACTTTGGGTAATCATAAATTAAGAGTCTCATTTTTCATTCACATTCAGCAAATACATTTTTAAGGAAATCCATATCCTCTGATGATTTGCAAACTGATCTGGGTGTGTGTCACGTTCATGTTTTATACACATGGACTTTAAAACCACTGCAACTCTGTAAACCCATCACCATAACAAATTACCACAGATGCAGTTGCTTAAACAACGGAAATCTGTTTTCTTACAGTTCTGGAGGCTGGAAGCCTGAGATCAAGGTGTCAGGGGGGTTTGATTTCTCCCGAGGTCGCTCTCCTTGGCTTGCAGATGGATGGTTGCTATCCCGACATGATTTTTCCCTATGCATTTCTGGTGTCTCTGTTTTCCCTGATTTACTCTTGTAAATATACCAGCCAGACTGGATTAGGGTTCTATCCAACATCCTCATCTTAATTTAATTATCTTTCTAAAGACCATGTCTCCAAATACAGTCACATTCTAAGGTAATGGAGGGTAAGGCTTTGACATTTGAATTACACATATTCAATCATTTGAATTACAAAAATTACACAAGCCCATATAAATTTATAGTTTAAAGATTATAAAAACAGTTAAAATTCTGTTTCTGATTAAGAAAAACAGATTTTTTTTATGGTATTCATCATTGTCATCAGGAAAGCCACAAAACATGAAAATGTTTCTAAACACCTGTTTCTAAAGGCTCTCTCTAAAATACTGGATTCTTTAGAAGGCAACAACTTTCCTCATTCACTGGAAAATTCACCTTTTTCTTGAAGATGCAGATAAAGATGTGTTCCAGATTTTACAAAGTACTGATAGAAACTTGTTTTATACTCTGTGCAAAAAAAAAAAAAAAGAAAGAAAAAAGAAAAACACACAATGCATTTATGAAGCACTTTGCTGACTTCCCATTTGGAATCACAGTTATTAAGAGAACAGAGCCACAAACCCAGTTAACTGGGTGCATTTAACCCAAAAGGAAATGAGATGGTTAAAGGGGAAAAAGGGAAGAAGCCAAGTCCTCAGGGCTGGAGATTATGCTCTCCTCTCTGGGGAGCATCCATTCTCTACCTGACACCAGAGGGTCATCAGTCATCTGTACAAAACATTCATAAAACCTTATTTGTTCTTAGTTTTTTAAAGCACAGTAAAATGTTCCTTCATGTCYGCAACAGGCTGTCTTCTGCCTCTCTAGCATGCTGTGTTCCACTCTGGTGAGGACTAGGCTAGAGGCTCAATGAAAGATTCTAAACTAAGGCAAAACCAAGGGAATGGAGAGTATGGTAAGGATAAAGAGGCTCAAGGGACACAATTGACAGAACTTGGTCACTGATTGCATGGGGGCTGCCAGTCTGAAGAACACAATAGGTATGTTATATAGCTGTTTTAGAAAATGTTTATATCCCATCTTCCCTAATGATTGAAGTTCTTTCAGATATGAATCAGACTATCATTCATTTGCTCCTTTGTGCCAGCCTCGTGCAATGCCCACCCATGTATATTTTCTCTGCAAAGACTATAGTGCCCTCTACCTATCTGTAGACCTTATACCTCACAACTCTGCAAACAGGAGCTGCTCCACAAACAGAACCTCTATGAACAGCCACACCAAGGTGGCTGGCTGACCAGACATCAGAAGGGCATGCAGGGCTTGGGACCTTCTGAATCTCAAAAGAAAAAGTGCTTTCTTCCAAGAAGTAGCCTGYGCAGCCAGGCAGAAAAATGTTAGCAGAAGCCTTATCTAGATAAGAACATTCTCTACCCTTGAACATGAGCTTCTCCTCCTCATGTCTCCATCTATTCCAAAACAGTAAAGGAAGGAAACACTAAAACATTCTTTTGTGCGTCTTACTCACAAGAGGGTTGGTCCACTGTATACTCCTCCAAATGCATCTTTGTCAATAACTGTCAGGTATTTATTCTTGTTTAGATAACTAGAGAATGAGAAGAAAAGAGAACAAATTAGGCGAGTTTAAGCAATAGTGCAAATACCCAAACAAAATGTGACTATAAACTGTTTTTACTTTACCTTCTTTTACCACAAAGTACTCAAAGTATTCTATGTTTCAACTGTGCAAGGTTTATAGACATTAATTATGGCAGAAGTTTTGGAAACTGAGCTTATTTAGGATCTAGTTCGAATATCTAAGTTTCATTAAAGTTGCTTCAATTTTCTATTTTCCTGTGCAGTGGCAATTGTGTTTTCAATCCTCTTGGGTAACAACTGATTTAAACTTTGTTTCTCAGTATTGGTCAATATTCCAATTTTTTTGGAAGACAGGACTTGAAAACAAAAATAACTGAAATGGGGGCAGATCTCAATGGATCAGCAAGGATTTCTTTATTAAGCAGGGGGAATGGCACATTTTTCAGGGGAGAAAAGGGCAATTAGTTACAATAAGGTCTGATTTTTATAGGGTTTAGTGAGAGTTAACCATAGAGAATGTTTAGTGTGACTTAATCATAGGAGACTTAATCATAGTAGAATGTGTCSGTTGGGTACTCAGGAAAATAGTTGTAGACTGGGAAATTATGAAACTCCAGAGCCCATTGTTTACCTTCTCCCCACCCCCACCCCCAGGTGACATTGTCCTCCTCTCTCCCTAGGGGTTGTTATTCCCCTTTTATTCTGGTGATTGTTGTTTCACCTTTTTCCTGGGTGGGGTGGGGGGGTTGTTATTTTCCATATCCATTAGGACTTCAACTAGGGAGGGAGTGGAAGTGGTGAGGGTGGTGTGTGGTGACAGGACAGGTCAGAGATYCAAATCTTTTCTTTGAGCAAGGTTGTAAGATTTAGCAAATGAAAACACAGGATRCCCATATAATTTGAATTTCAAATAAACCATAATTTTTTAGTAGAAGTATTCCCCATGCATTTTTTGAAACATTTTTACATTTTATAAGTTGTCTGTTATTTCTTTGAAGTTCAGATTTAATTGAATGGCCTGTATTTCACCTGAGAACACAATTTGGGGGGTGGGGGACAGGGATTGTTTAGGCAGATAAAATTATAGCATATACCTTCCATGGAAGGGATTTGATGGGCACATTGATCTTTCCATTTTTAAAACATATTGGATATTTGGGGCTGTAATTTTTTARAGCAATTTAAGTCACAAAGTGGTTTTGAAACATAAAATTTCCTCCAAATGGATAAAAGCTTCCAGGGATTTTGAAATTGACCCCCACTATAGCTTTTTTTTAGAGAACAAAATCATCTAAAAAGAAATAAAGTACATATATGTCCTCCTTATGAATGATCCCTATTTACACATTTAAAACAACTCCCAGGGCTAGGGCTGTGGGTCAGTGGTGGAGCACTTGCCCATCAAGTGCAAGCCCCTGGGTTTGATTCGTAGCTGTACCACCACCACCACAAAAGACTCCAGCATAACCAGCTGCTGAGTGGGGGGACCTTGACACAAAATAAATATAGCACAGAACCTTAGTGAGTCTGCTATGATTCAGATAATGCTTCCATTTATTGTACTGATGAGGTTTGCTCTCAGGATGGAAAATTCTCAAGGATGAAAGTCAATAGTAACGTTGAAAAACCAGCCTCTACCTCAGAGCAAAGCCTGTCCAAGGAAGGGGGCATGACCCTTGTCCTTGGAAAGACGCACAGAGCACTCCTAGGCACATACCTACCCTGCTAAGTGGTTTATCTACAAATAATAGGAGAGATCTGTGGAGCCAGGTGTCCCTGACTCAGTCAGGCTAGGTGGGGACCCATAGCAACCCCCTAGCAACCACCAATCAGTATGAGACGGGGAAAATACCTGGGGTGCCAGATGACCCTCCCAGTAGTTTATGGTGGTTGATAACGTGTTGGGAAACCATGTAGTGTAGCACGCACACCCCTCGTGGCCTAAACCAATCAGTTCAAATGAATCCCCCTCTTGTAGTAACCAATCACCCTTACCCAACTTGTTCCCATCAGTGAATGTGCTAATCATGTTTTAGAGTTGTTTTATGATTTTCCTGCGGTGTGTGATGATTTGCTAAGAGATGCTGTGATGTATGTGAAGTCCCTGCCTTCTCCAAAGAGTGTATAAAACTGCTGCAAACCCTGGGCTCGGGGCCTCTCAGCATCACCAGTTGCTGTGTGCACACGGAGGACTGAGCTAGCTCACAATAAACACCTCTTTGCTGCTTACATTGATCTTGGTCTCTGGGGGTCTTTTGGGGGTCCCAAATTCGAGCATAACAACTTCAGAAGAGGTCTTTCTCCACAGACTTCAAAGAGAAAGTTCCCTCTGATTAATTGAATCCAGGTGGGTCTTCCTTGTAGCAGTAGGGATAAGAGTTTTATCTACCAACAAATCTGAAGAAATCTTCCCCTTCTGGGAAGGAAGAGGGATTAACCAAACAACAGGTAAATACTGGGACTTCATACAGATCTTACAAATTGTATACATTTTTGAGTCTTTCAATTTTTTTCTTTTTCTTCTTCTTTTTTTTGGGCTGGGGCATCATACATGATAGGCAAATGCTCTACCACTAGCTGCATCCCCAGCCATCAATTTTTTTCTTAAATGTAGTCAAGAACGACTTAACCTAAAGCAGCCATCCCCAGTTTGCCTCCATACATCTTCATTCCCTTTGTAGCATTATCAAAATCTTTAATTACCTGCTTTATTCATCTGTTTGTTTATTGTCTGTCTTCCCAACCAGAATGAAAGTTCTATGTCTTAGTCATTGATGAATACCTAGTGCCAAATTCAATGCCTCCTTAACTATTTGCTGGAAGAAAATTATGAATGAGTGAATAAATATATCAATACATCCTTCCTCCAAGATAGTGAGGTGGGCGATGTCAAATTCTGAAGGTGACGTGATTATTTTAAAGAAAAAACAACAGAGAACGATAGAATAGATGACTTAGCATCTGATGTGGTCAAATTGGCCAATATCGACCCTTCTGGATGGCAGTAATTATGAGGCAGCTGGTTTACAAAGGGTTTGATCCAGACGTGGCCTCTTCAGGTAATGGCTAGACACCTAACTTCTAGGGTGGTGTTAGTTAGCTTTCCATGATTATAACAAAATACTTGAGAAAAGTCAACTTAAGAAAAGAAAAACTTATTTTGGCTGACAGTTTTGGAGGTTTCATGTCCATGGTCATTTGGCCCTGTTGCTTTTGGGTCTGTAGACTGGCAGGAGCACATGGTGGAGGAAGATATTCACTTCATAATGGCTGACAAACCAGAGAGGAAGAAGGGGTTGGGTCCCAATATCCTTTTCAAGGGCACATCCCTAATGACTTAACTTCTTCCTACTTGGTTTCACCTCTTAAGGGTTCCACCAACCACAAGTAGCACCAAACTGAGGACCAAGCATTTAACACATGAGCATTTGGGGGACATTCCAGACTCAAACTCTAGCACAGTGCATTCATTGTTGAATCTGACAGGAGAGAGATAATTAGTCTCATACATGTTCAAAGACCTAAAATGCCAAAGCAGCCAATCGGTGCTTTCCCCATACTGTCATGTAAGGCTCCATTCATGGTCCCCATTTGATCATAGCTTGATTCCTTCAACCCACTACATTAACGACAATCCTTTGGTTAGTGATAACTGGAGTGGGCAAGCGCCATCTTGGAGAAAACACCAACTGGAGAGAACATCTTGAACCGTGTGATTTTGTAAAAAGACAACTAAACTCGGCACAATAGCCACACTGGCTGGCAACTATTTTTTGTATTCTTTGGACCATGCAGCTCTCTGATCACATTTTGTTCCCAGACTGTTGAAAATCAAGTAAAAGCCAGTGAGCTCATTTCAGTTTTTTTCCTCTTCATCTCTGGCTGTTGCAAGTGAAAATCGGCTTACTCTCATCATCAGAAATTATTGTAAAACTAAATTATTGCTTGTCCAAATCTGCAGTGTTTTTCATCTGATATTTAATACCTCCCTGAGGATAATGAGACTGGTTGATAAGCACTGCAGTTTACCAGAAAGGCTGCAGAAACTGGGAAAGCCAGTCAGAGTTAGGAAGAGAGGAGCAAGATGCAGGGTGGGTGCAGCCAACTTAAACAGAGGTGAACTGATCTCACAGGAGACTGTCTTCTCTAAACCCAATGTGGCTGTCTGGGTACTCAACCTCTTTGAGATAATTAGGTGCTTAAAAATGAAACCATCACTCCACTTTTGGTAATTGTGAGGACTGCTTTATTTTGCTTTGAACCTCGGGTTCAAATTTCTCACCCTCCCTTCCATCTGAAACTATGGGAGTAGGGTGAGGAAATACAGATGGAGAAAGTATAATATCCAGAAAGGGAGTGATTCCATCAGCCCCATTTATCACATGACATTTTGGGGGAATGTCAGTCTAGTTAAAAGGATTCGTTAGTCATAACTTATCTTTATTCCATGTTGGCAAGYCCATCACAAATCTTAGTAGATGGAAACCTACTCTAGACAATGATTATTAGATAGGGGTTGATAATTTAAACCATCCCTTGCAAGGAGAAGAGGAACATCAATGAACTTAAAAGAGTGTGGGAAGACTTGTAAGAAATGAAATATTTCTTGAAAGTCAGGGTTTCTAAATCTAAGTACTGAGAAAGGCRTATGTGCAAAGAACTGATACTTCTTTTAAAAGTAGGGTAGAGCACCGGGGATGTAGCTCAGTGGTAGAGTGCTTGCCTAGCATGCACAAGGCCCAGTMCTGCAGATAAATAAGAGATGCTACCAGAGTTGAGTGTGTTCAATTGTTCTCCATTGTTTGGAGGGACAGGGGTTTACACCTCTTTGCAGAATTGTTGAAAATGATGAAGTTCCTCATAAAAAGGATGTCAGATTTTCCATACAGGGATTTAGGAAGACCTTCCCTGGTTTAAGATTGTGTATTTCATAATACTAAGAGAAGAACACTATAGTTGGGAAAAAGGAATTGGTCAGTAATGAGTAGGGGGGAAATATTCAATTCA